ATAACGGAACAAAAGTTATAGGAAAAATCAGAGGTTTACATTCTTCTCCCGTCTTCGCCTACCCTCTTTTACAGAAAACGGCGGATAAGAATTTTAGGACATGGAGCTATATAGTAAATGGTTAGGCTAATTTTTTCAAGGTTAGGGCGTTCTCCGAACTACTATCGCTTAGCAGTTGCTAAGCTTTAGTAAAGACTGCTGATTTTAAAGTTCTGCTCGATGGTGTGTTAATTGATAAACTTTAATTGTTAGTCGTTCCAATAGATGTTTTTCAAAGATGTTTGGAAACATGATGGATGGGAAAGTGTATTCTGAAGATGTTTGATGGAGTGGCTGTTTTGTTGTTTTGCTTTTGTACAGGTGCTGTTAGTGTACGAAATGCGGTGAGGCAATTGATGATTTATCAGTTTTTTATTTTAAAAGAGTGAACAAAAACAGAGGTATCTAAAGGTTTTGTTTAGTACGGTTCCTTTAACTTTCTTAATTTGATGAGGTGATATTTTTCGTTTGCCTTTTAGAATTCACTTTGTCTTCGTTTCTTTTTGGTGTATTTGAATGACAAAAAAAAGTTTTTGTCTTTATTTTCTTGGTTGAACTGTGTTGGATTTATAGTAAATAGTGCTACAGATCAAAACGGCAGTAGCAGAAGTACTAATAACAAAAATTTTTAAAATAATGGCAGTGTCGGTGTCTAAAGTCATTTCTACATTTCGATAATTGACCATTATCGTTATTTTTTTTTTTTTTTTGTTTGAAGGCGGTAGTAAACATTTGAAAATTCAAAAAGGATTGGTCAAATAATAATGATAATTGGATAAATCGGATGTATTTGGAAGAGTTTTAATTAGTTGAGGGAAAGAAAGGCCAGAGAGAGCGGTGGGGTTGGGGGAGAAAAGGTAGAAGAAAGCGGATAAAAAGAGCTTTTTAGAAAACCAAATTGGGAAGACAGAAGTTCTGAATATACAGTCAGTTTTTTTTTATGGTTAGTTTGGTAGCTGCCTGGAGTGATGCTTGGAAGTTGGTTGTTCAGTGGAAGAAGATTTGTTCAGTTCTGTAGTTAGTCACAGGAGTTTTTTTTTTTTTTGTTTCTGTTTTTGTAACTGCAATCTTATTAATTTTTGTTTGTCTGCTTCAGTGAAAATTATCTAAAAGTTTCATCTGTTCAACTGTTTTTGTTGTCGTTGGTGTTATTTTTGCAAACATTG